TAACTACGCTACATTGGTATGCTTCTAAATTATATAAAAAAAAAAAAAAAAACAAAATGAGACATTATAATATCACTTCATTGAATAAAAATGCCTCAGATACTGTGCAAAAACGTAGAAACATATAATAAAAATAAGACTTATATTATAAATAGCTTTTAATAATATGTATTTACTGTATAATGTAATAATAAATACGAAATCCTGCGTATATTCGTCGTTATAGCAATAATTAGCTATATTCGACCACAATAATTAATAAATTAAATATGTTTTTTTAGTAAAGTTTTATCTATTAATTTAAAAAGCTATATATTACACTTAATTCAAATAACACTGGGATTATGAAAAATATAATGGTACTTTTGTGCAATAAAGCCTCACATGTATTCGATTTTTTCTTATTTCATTGTTCTCTTATATGTGCCGTTGTTATTTTCCTCAATCCCGAGTAATATATAATTTGTACACTTAAGTGTATCCACTATGAAAGAAATTTACAAATTACTTTTATACAATTTCGCGAGTTTAATTATATTAGAATTATATTAGAAATAATAGCTCTCATTAGATCCAATTTGTTAGATACATTATTCCATGTATAAGATTTGATATTCTCGACTCGAGTCGAAAATAAATTGTATCTCTATGCGATCCTTATAAATTTTATGAAATTCAATACTTGAAAAATAGTCCAAAAAAAAAAAAAAACAATCGAACATCATCATTTTCTCAACAATCGATGTTCAATTTTATCCATTTTCTTATTTTAATCTCGATACTAACTTCCAGCGTAAGCAAAGAAAGTAATTTAATAAATCAAACTGATGTCAAAAAAAAACTATAGAAAACTTTCTACTGTATTAATAAAAAAATTTTCTATAATTTTAAATATGTATTAATACGTTCGTTGCGGAGAAGAAATCCCCATTATAGACTATGCTTTATTTTTTGAATATTTATCACTGTACACAGAATTATCAGCATGTAGCACAAAATTTTACACGTCATTATATCGAATATATAGCAACATCGCTCCCTCACTCTTCTATTCTTACGTCACTGTCAACCATTTTGTCTCGCATGCTGGCAATTCTGATTATATATATATATAAAATATATATATATATATATATATGATGCTGATCTCAATGGAAATCGATGCGTTACACATATGTAACGTTGGTAATGAACGTATTAATAACATATATGAAAAATCTTGATTGATACAATGTCCTTTGAGGAGTAACCTTCATGTTTAAGATTAAATTATATGAATGGACGGGTCATAGTGTAAGAAGGAGAAGAAAACGTGTTACTGTTTACCGTTTTCCTTATAAAACGGATTAGATGACATCGATTACTTATAGCGAAATGAAAGAATCGATCGGTCGATCACGTTAATTACAGAGTTGATTGCGAAAGAGATTAACAATGATATATATTACCTATATGGTATCTATGTGTCGTGCGCGTATCTATGG